TGTGTGTGTGTGTGTGTGTGTGTGTGTGTGTGTGTGGTAAAAGAGCAGCAGGTCCCTGGAGGCAGTGATGTCATCTAAACGAGACATCCACACCCTGGTGACATCACCCCGCCGGACAGAGAGGATGTCAAAACAGGCTTCGGTTTGATGATTGATTATTGGTTATTAGGGGTGGAGGGCGGGGTGGAGGGTGGGGGGGTCGGGGGGGTGGAGTTGTGTTTGTTACTATCATTTCATCAACACAACAGTTGATGAACTAAGATTTAATCAGATCTATGAATAAAAGATCTTTCCTCTCAAGTGTTAAACAGACGATGACGTGAATCAATCTAAAGGATCATCAGACGAATGAGGGAATAAGAAAGAAGGAAATACATTTCTGATGCTAATTATATTTTATATAACATGTCAGTCACGACATGAAATACAAAATATTGTGATGATAAAGAACCATAAAGAAATCTTCCACCAAGCCACCATGGAAATTATTATTATTATTATTATTGTAAATATGGACTTGTGTAACTTCTACTTGCTTGTACTTGTTTATGTTTGTTGGAGCTAAAATATATTTATTTATTTCTATATGTCACTGCCCTGATTTTAACCTCATTTCACCTGATGAGAGAATAAACCGTTAAAAGTGAAGAGGTTTCAGAACAGGGAGGGAAACCTGCAGAGACGTCACATGACTGAGAGGAAACAGACTGTGATGTTGTGAAGGTGAACGCTGCCACCTAGTGGTGGAAAAACAGCAACACAACAACACCGTCAAACGTCAGAGGTCATCTCAGGTCAAGTTTCAAGTTAATATGTGAATAAATAAAGCAGCAGGGAGGCAGACTGTGAGAGCGTCTAGCTTTTAATTCAGGGTTTTATTTGCTCCAATAAAACTGTCACACATTCAGGTGAGCAGGGTCTCTATGGTTTCTCTGATTGTATCATATTGTGTTGTGGTGTGTTGTGTGTTGTGTGGTGTTGTGTTGTGTGTTGTGTTGTGTTGCAGTGTTAAAGTCTGTACTCACATCTCCTCCACCATGTCTGCAGGACCCTGGACTTGTCCCACCACCGTCCCACTGTAGGTGTTCTTCACCCAGCCGACCAGGCCGAGGCGCAGACCCTCCTTCTCCGTGTACTGGAGGGAGGGAGAGAGGTTGACAGTGAAGCCTTCGCTACCTCGAAAGGCGCTAAAGAAAGTTATTAGCGTTATAATCATTATTATTAATATTTACTACTTTTGAGGAGGAGAAACATTTTAAATTCAATTTGTGAATCTAGTTATTTATCTCTTTTGTTAAACTGTATTTTTAATAGATTTTAAATTTCATTATTTATTTACAAATTCATTAATATATTTTAAAATAATGTACTTACTTTAATTTGAACAATTTATGATTGGATTAATATTTCATTAAGATTGGACTCTTAATATTTTAGATATTAATAATGAATTACTTTGTCATTTTGTCATTTTATTTATAGATTAAGATTTTTTGTGAAATGCTTTATTACTTTATTACTGTGACACTTGTGATCTGGATGATCAATGATCCATCATGTTACTGTGATCTCTTAATATTAAGAGACATTAAACATTACCTGCTGTGACTTAGTGTCACATCAATAAAAATCTTCACTTTAGAGAAACACGATAGAAAAACAAACATTTTATCATTTATAATGAAATAATTTGACATTTTGACACGAGAACATCGTTAAAGAAAAAGTCATTTGAGGAACAACAGAGACTTTCATTGATTGGAATGAATTAATCAGACGGAGTTAGACACAGTCCTCGGTCACTGAAGGCCTCAGGTTGCATTTAAAGGTTAATGGCGTCTTTCCAAAACATCCAAGTAAAGTGTATTTTTCTGGAGGTAATGATGATGATGATGATGATGAAGATGAGAACAAACAGGAACTTACCATTCTGAAACAGACTCCTGTCGAAACAACAAGAGAGACAGATTGGTGAGAAAAGCTGCAGAGCTTCACAACAACACTTTGTTTTTATCCCTTAATGAGTCATTAAACATCAAAACAGTCTTTAGCTTTTCTTTACTCCCACTGACTAAAACAAACAGCTGACGACACGTTCAGGTGAATCTGTAATAATCTGCCTTCAGGCTGCAGGAAGTGACAGAGCGGCGAGCTCCTGCTGCTGCAGCTCGTTCCTAAATTAAGCAGCGGATCAGTTTACAGCCTCGACCCGTTTACAGCAGAGAGCGGAGGAGGAGGAGGAGGAGGAGGAGGAGGAGGAGGAGGAGCAGAAGAGAGGGGAGACAAACATACAGACCCTGAACGTGACCGAAGATCTCAAAGTCCACTGACACCAGTTCACCTCCTGCTGATTCACCTGCAGACATCCTGAGAGGAAGAAGAGAGTCTGAGGCTTTAACAGAGGAGGAGGAGGAGGAGGAGGGTGAAGAACGAGTCTCTCTCTCTCTCTCTCTCTCTCCACCACTCTGAACCAACATGGTCGCTTCTGCCTCCAGATTTTTTAAAGGAAAATCTCACCAGTTAAACGTCCAGTCTGTGCTGATGGTCTTTGTAGTCCATTAAAACTACATTTACATTCACAGACATTAGTGTTCTCTTGGTGTGAAGATTTGCTGCTTTTCTTGGTCGCACAGTAACTGAAGCTGTTTGTCTCTGAAGACGTCACATTGAGCATGTGGCGAATTCTGTTTTTTGACATTTTATGGACAAAACTGCTGATTAATATGAGAATCTGAAAATATTCTGCAGGTGAATCAACATAAAGAAATCACTGGTCGCAGCTGTAAAATCAACTATACAGCAAAACAAGACTGAACTAAAATGGTTATTGTGGTTTATTGTGATTAATGTATAAAAAGTGAATCAGCTGTGTGTGGGTGTGTGTGTGTATGTGTGTGTGTGAGCAGGGAGAATAAGGGATGTAAATTAAAACTCCTGCGTGCTTGAAAATCTCTTTTACTCTATAAAATCCACATTGATGAGTGCTCTGTCTAATGCAACAGGTGCAACACATCAGGGCGGAGCAGGTAATCACGGAGGCAGGAAACACACAGGGGCAGGAAGGAAACGACAAGACACACTTGAGGAAAGTAATTTCAAAATAAAACAGGAAATAACACAGAGTCCAGAAAGCCACAAAGCGGCAGGTCATGACGTGAAGGTGGCACATGCTGTAGTGTTTGAGTGTCCCACGTTTCTTTCTTGAGTTACTGTGACTGAACAATAAATTCATTTTACTTAATTAATCGATAATAAAAAAATAATGGTCTAAAGTTTCAGAATCACAGACAATAATTGGGCAGATTGAAGCTGCTGGATCTGAGACCTCAGATCAGTAACGAAGTAAAAATATTTTATATATTCATATATTTACAGCAGGTAAAAGTCTGGATCATGTTCAGTTTATGAACTGTCCACTAGAGGTCAGTCACACCTCACTGAATCCAGCAGCTCTGCTGTCTCACACACACACACACACACACACACACACACACACACATATTTGCTGTGTATTACTGTGTGTGTGTGTGTGTGTGTGTGTGTGTGAGTACGAGACCACTGGAGGACATTTTTCTGGAAAGAGGACGTTTTTCTAAAAGACAGTTTTTCAACAGGAGGACATTTTGAAAAACGAATAATTGAATTGAATGAAATCTCTGGACAGTGGAGACGTGTCCTCCGGTCCTCAGCTGTCCAAGGGTCCAGATTTGTTTTCAGGGTCAAGTTCAGAACCGGGTTTAGTTTGTGTTCTGGGGGAACCGGTTCAGTCACAGGTGCATGTGTGTGTGTGTGTGTGTGTGTGTGTGTGTGTGGATAAACTGTACGTACAGTACGAGGTTTATGTGTCCAGACCATCTAGGAAAATATGAAGTGATTAGACCGTCAGGTCGCTCTTTAAGCCGCAGAACACACTGTAATGAGAGAGAGAGAGAGAGAGGGAGAGAGAGAGGGAGAGAGCATATTCAACATTTAGGGCAAACACACACAGACCGTTACCCCCCCTCCTCCCTCCCACTCCAAACCATTTGGAGCATGAGCAAACACACACACACACACACACACACACAGATAAAAACACTCACATTAGTGTGTGTGTGTGTGTGTGTGTGTGTGTGTGTGTGTGTGTGTGTGTGTGTGAAAACAAACACCAGGAGCTGATGAGGTTGTAAATCCAACACGTTGCTCATGCTCACGCTGCAGCCCTGTGTCGCATGATTTTTGCATCAAGCTGCACGAACATGAACGAAACCTGCAAACACTCTGCACTGACGTGAGCTCACTGCACACGACAAATGTCTCTTTTCTACTGGTGTTTTTACATTTACTCACTTTGATTTAAAGAAACTCACAAGTGAAGAACATCAGCGAAGCTTCAGTGCAGCAGGAAACCTTGAAGTATCTGTTAAAGGAGCTAATTGCTATCGCTACATAGCTAATGTTAGCATTAGCAGCTGTTTATTTACTAGTCTTGCCTGGAGCTTCAGCCATCGTTGCGTTTACAAGACAAGAAGTTATAATACATCCTCTGAGCAGCTACTTCTGGATGCTACAGTGACTCGGTATCGGAAAGTGACAGCTGGACTGGCGCTAGCTGGTTAGCATGCTAACTTCAGTAGAAGAAAATACGTGATAGACTGTGATTGTATTTTACTGTATTTTATTGTTTTTAACTCAGCTGCTATGATGTTTTAATTTCCCTCCGGAGATTAAAAAAGTAATCTATCTATCGATCTATCGATCTATCTATCTCACGTTTCTTCTAAACTGATAAAAGGCTGTTAATGCTAAAGTTAGCTATGTAGCAATAGCAAAACTTACATATAGCTCCTTTAAATAAGGTGAAGTGAAAGAAGAAGAAGAGCACCACACAAGGCTGGTTTCACCGTCGGGGAGCCACAGTCCCTTGTCCTGTGCACGAGCGCCCCCTGTTGCTGATTGGCCGGAAGTGTTGGTCCGATACGTTTTGTTTAATCCCCATTTACCTTTTTTTTCTGCAGCACACAGAACAAGAAGCTCATGAGATGTTCACTGAATATGACAAATAGTATATGACATCAGAATCACTTCCTGTAACAGGAACTTTCCTCCACTCTCGAAAAGCTTAAAGTACAAATTTTAGTCAGTTTTATGTTTATAGGCAAATACAGTGAGTGAAAGTTTTTGATACACAACAAATTAAACAACCAACAACAACACAGGTGATTTTTTTTTTCATCCCTCTGATACGACCCAGAGGAATGTCTCCTGAAATAGCGCCCCATACAGGCGGCAGGTTGTCATGGTTACTGTAATAAACACGTGACTCTACTGACAGCGGCGTAAAGAACATTGCCGTGGTTACTATAATAACGGTCATGGCTTGGTTAGATTCAGGAAAAGATCGTGATTTGAGTTAAAATAAATACTTCCTCAACATCAGACGATCTTTGTTGTCATGGTTACAATAACAACAACGAACGGTCATGGATAATAGAAACAATATAAGCAGCTGGTTTCACACGGGAATCGAACACACCGCTCTCCTGTCACATTCATCCGTCCATCCACCACCTCCTCCTGACGTGGGCTCTGTCTCTCTTTAAACTACATCACCGACACTTTTCCCTTCGCTCCTGTCATCATCACTACGACCACTAGATGTCGCCTAGCAACAAAACCTAGCTATGATGTCATAATGACCCGCTGAACGGACGACCCGTGGGCTCGTTTTCTACAGGAGGACGGCGTGTGTCTCTGACAATAACGACCGCCAAATCTGACGTCTTTGAGACGTGTTGCCATAGAAACGACAGACACTGTTTATAAATCGATGTATTTGGATATGAGACGTGTCACACGCTGATGTTGCAGCTGAGTAAATGGTTTATTCAGTTCAACGGTTCAGACTCAGAGATTCATAGAAAACAACCGACAGAACGACTCGTCAGCCTCAATCCTGAAGGACGCTGATCCCAACAGGAGCCAGGAGGTCAGAACGTACTGGAACATCAAGTACATACAGCACGCCTCAACACACACACACACACACACACACACACACACACACACACACACACACACACAGGCAACCTGCATCCCAACAGACAGGCCCTGTACATCATCAGCAGGGATGAAATCAAAGGAACAGCTGAAACATGAAAGATACACAGAGACAAATTGTAATGTTACACAAATAGATGTAAAGACACGCACAAACATACACACACACACACACACACACACACACACACACACACATGCACCACAACATGCACACACACACACACACACACTTGGACAGATCTAGGCTAACTGTTTCTTCCTGTTTCCAGTCTTTCAGCTGCAGAAGTCCGACTGGCTGCAGCTTCATATTTACAGTACAGATACAGTGATGAGAGTCACTTCAAAATAAAAGAGGAAATAGCAACAAAACAATGATTAATATACATACGATTTAATTTTGAAATAATAAATTAGCACTGGACTAATTAGCATTGAACAAATTAGCATGTTGCACAGATACACTGCGAGAAAGTTCAAAATAAAAGAGGAAATGGCAACAAAATGATAATTATTATACATGATTTAATTTTGAAATGATTAATTAGCATTGGATGAAGTGTATTTGCTCAGGTGAATATGATTTATTGGTGCAGAAGCCGATCAATAACAGATTACTTCCTGTTATCATCCTGATTATCATTATTATATATTATTACATTATTATTGTATCATATTATATATAATTATTATAATACTGTCTATACATATATATATATATATATGTATGTATAAATATATGTGAATATATAACATTCTGGTATTATAACAACCTTTATAACATTTCTGCTAATACCACAATATTACTATATATAATTATTATTATTATTATTATCTATTCATTAACTATTATTTACTATCATGTACACACACACCCTTTAAATCTTATTTAACACACACTTTTTATTTATTTTTCATGTTCACACTGTTTTCTACGTCACTTTCTTTTTTCTCACCAATATAAAACAAAACAAACATGGCTGATAATATCAGTGTCAGCTGTGACGGTTCTGGTCGAGGGACCGTCCACACAGCTCATTACCTCTGATCATCACCTTTAGAGTCGTGTTACTGTCGTGCACCACCACCACCACCACCACCGGTCTGAACGCCAGTATACACCGCCCTAACTCACCACAGAGAAACCGGAGGCGGAGGTTTCTCTCGCTCCAGCTCTCTCTCTCTCTCTCTCCCCCTCCCTCTCTCTCTCTCTCCCCCTCTCTCTCTCTCTCTCTCTCCCCCTCCCTCCCTCTCTCTGCCAGGGGCCGGTGTTGTGCTGACAGCTGGGGACTCTGACATGAAGCCAAGATGATCGCTCCTGTAGAAA